CATTCGTGAAGCATTTACTAAAGGCCATCACTATGCTGAGTGCTGGGGATACAAAGAGAGGCCAGAAAACCCCAGCCCCCCAAATCCTGTGGTCTCTCCCCTCAAGAAATTGTATTGATACTAATGAAGCCCTGACTTTAAGTTATCCTTTGTTATACTACATTACTGGGTTGAGTCCTTTCCCATTTGTGTATCTACCTTCATATGCTGTTTCTCTTGCATAATTATTATTTTTCCTTCAAGACAGTCATTGCCTTAAATTTTCTTTATTTTTAGTTTTCATTGGTATCTTTTGTTTTCATATTATCTTCATTTCAAAAGACATTCTTTCCTTGTCTCTTGCCTAATATACCATCCTTTATAGCAAATAATTTAAATAAAAGGGAGACAGAAAGCAGTTCAATCAGTAAACCTTTATTAAGCACCTACTATGTGTAAGGCACTGAATTAAGTGCAGGGGATACAAAGAAAGGCAAAAAATGGTCCTTGCCCTCAAGGAGCTTGTAGTCAAATGGGAGAGACAACATGAAAATAACCATGTATAAAGTATAAACAAGCTATGGACAGGATAAATAGGAAATGATCAGCAGAGGAAATGGACTGGAATTAAGAGGGATTGGGAATGGTTTCCTGTAGAAAATGGGATTTTGGCTAGAACTTGAAGAAAGTCATTGAAGCTGAGAAGTGGAGATGGGGAAGGAGAGTATTCCATGCTTGGGAGATGGCCAGTGAAAATTCCTAGAATTGAGACAAGAAGTTCAACAAAACCTACCAACAGACCAGCTAGGTCAGATGGTATATTCTTGTGTAATTCTTAGACACAAAGAATGTAGTCAGGGATACTCATTATAACTAAGTGTTGAGAGAATATTCATAGGATCGAAAATTGAAAGAGATTGGAGAGATCACTGAGCACAACCCCTTCCCTTTACAATGGAAGAAGCTGAGACTCAGAAAAGGAAAATGCCTTAGCCAGGGTGACAGGAGCAGCAGATAGCAGAGACAGGACTTCAGCCCGGATCCTCTGACTTTACCTCCAATGCTTTCCAGTGTTACTGTCCTGCCCCCTTTTTAATATCATATTCAGCTAGTCAAATATAGTGAATAAGAAGACTGGTGATAAGTAAATAATTGATCATAAATTATGCATTTTAAGGGGCAGCTAGGTGGCACAGTGGATAGAGCACCGGCCCTGAAGTCAGGAAGACCTGAGTTCACATCTGGCCTCAGATCAAACACTTGACACTTACTAGCTGTGTGACCCTGGGCAAGTCACTTAACCCCAATTGCCTAAAAGCAAAAAAAAATGCATTTTAAGAGGCTTGGTTTCTTTTCAGTTGCATAGAGATGCACAAAAATGAGTTGATAGCATGATCTATTCTCTGTTGCTAAAAAGGTCTTTTGGATTTTCTGCCCCAATTTTATTTTTATATATGCGTGTGTACTTTGTTTGAGTTGTTTTTCTTTGAGGGTCTTAACGAAGAAAACTCATTTCTGATTGCTGAAGGTCATTATCCAAAATTTCCTCCCCTTTTTAATAATTATGCTTTAAAGGAGTAAGTCTAATTGCTTTCAGCTGAACCTTCCCTGATTATGGGAGGCATGATATAAATAGGTCTTCTTGAGAAAATTTTGATGCTAGTAATATTTTTTTCTAAAATATTAACTATGAAATCATATGTTTGTTGAAAATACTGTATATGGGAACTTTTCAGTATGAAAACAGATTAAATTTCTTGTATTTTGTTCCAGAAGTCCTCAGGCTCTTGTGGTTCTGTCATTATAGTTCAAGTCCCAGTTAATTGGGGAAGCATTGTTCTGAAGCCCAGACCTCAGCTAATTGGAGTGGACTAGTGCACTTCAGCAGCGTCCTGGAGCCTGTGGTCTAGCCTTCAGACCAGAATGCAGCAGAGCCTGTCATCTCTACCATCTGCTGTAGCCACAGGGACCACTGAAGGGGGCCCTGGCTGCTGCAGGAATAGCCTGCCATCTGCTGATGAGAATGCTCAGCTTTCTCCACTTAGCCATCTGGCTGATAATACTGAGTAGAGTGCACATAAAATATTAAATTTAAGATTTGAGCTTTCCAAATGTGCATTATATTTGGAAAAGAAATATATACATTAAAAATAATTTAGAAGAAAATTTCAGATCCTTTAGTTTGAGAATTTGGGCTTATTCTACACATGTTTAATCCCTTAGGGGTGTGTGTGTGTGTGTGTGTGTGTGTGTGTGTGTGTTTAAAAACCTTCATATTTTTGTGTCTAATTCTGAACAGTAGTTGCATGTTTGTGAGAGAATTTACTTCATCTCTCCCAGAGGACCTGGATTCAAATCATAACTCTGTCACTTTCTACTTGGGTACCCTTGGACAAGTAACTTGACCTTTCTGGACCTCATTTACCTTATCTGTAAAATGGGATTGGATAAGATGACCTCCAATATCTCTTCCATCTCTAATTAGAATGTATGAATGCAGCTGTTGTAGCAGAGTGTAGGCTGTTTATAGATCCAGTGGTTCCTCAAGTACTAGTTAAGTCTACATGCAGTAGATGCTTAATAAATGTTTATTGATTTGATTTGGTCTGCCTGTTGGTTTAAAACCAGGGAAGAGAATAAAACTTTTAAGGAATCTGTGGCTCTCTCTAAAGTGCTATCTTTCCCTTGAAACTAGAAACCACAAACACTTAGCAATAATTTTTTTGTAACTTTGTGTTAAGTATTGTTCCTTTACCTTTATTTTTTACTGCTAAAGTAAGTCATTTGACATAATTGGACTTTATATAGTTATACATTTGCACAAAGTCAAAATTCTCAGTTGACTGTTAGGTTGCTTGAATATTTTTTTATCTGTTTTTAAACAGAGGCATGCTTTTCAAATTTCCAAATGACACAAAGCTAAATCTATGTTGGGGAATAGAGTTAGGATCCAAAAAGATATCAACAAATGAGAACTTTGGGCCAGATCAAATAAGATGAAATTTAATAGGGATGGATAACTGTTCAGGCTTATATTTGGTATCAAAAAATCAATTTCCTATGTAACCTATGTAAAGTGGGAAAGTATGGTTGGATGTCAGTTTCTAAGTACGAGGTTTGTGTGTCACCGTGGACTTTTAATCTGTGTAATATGGCAGCCAAAAAACTTAGTTTGATCTTCAGTGCACTCTGAGAGGCAGAGTCAAGGAATAGAGAGTTGTTATTTCTGTTCAACTCTGTTCTGGTCAAATCATGTGTGGAGTGTTGTGTTTAGTTCTATGTCCCATGTTTTAGGAAGGACGGAGAAGGGTGATCAGGATGTGGGAAGACTTTTAGTTAATACCAAATAAGGATCAGCTGAAAGAACTGGTCGATGTTTAGCTTCAGAATAGAAGACTTCGGGCTGACACGATAGCTGTTTGCAGCTATTTTGAAGTCTTTCATGTGACAGCGTAATTAGATTTGGTCTCCATGGTCCCAGAAGGCAGAACTAGGAACAGTGGATGGAAGTTTTGACTAAAAAAATTTTTTTTTGATGCAAGGTAAATATTTCTAACAATTAGATTTAATCCAAAAGTAGAATAGATTTTCTTTGGAGACAGTAGGTTTTCCATCCTTGGAGGTCTTCAAGAAGAGGCTGACTGACTTTGTTAGGTGTTTGTTTACATTTCACCTTTAAGAGTGAAATGATTTTTTTAAAAAGAAAGATAATTAAAAATCATGTGACTGCCATCTCAACTGACCAGACAACAGCTATCATTTGCTTCTGTGCTGTTAGTCTGGCTGTGCTCCATTACCTCCTTAAAGCAACTTGGCAGCTAACATTTACTGAGCTTCAGAGATGACACTGATAAACTGGGCATGAGTCTGTAGCAAGTATAGCCTCACAGCCATGTGGAAGATTGATCACGTCTACTGATTGGACAATTCCAATTGTCTCTGCAACTAGAATCTCTTCTTTATACAGTTCTCTGTCGGGTGTCCAATATTGGGTGCCACGATTTAATTCTCTATTTCTGAACCATTAGAATGTTACTACTAGTCTCAGTAGCAAAATTTAGTGACTACTTTACCTTTGTATTGCTATTGAAGGTCTAAGTCTTGGTTTTCTAAAAGTAGAGACTGGCATATAGTTTCAGATTGTCATTTAGTATAGTTTCAGTGGTTCTCCAGATACTTAATACAAAAAGATCTGTGATTTTACTGGCATGGACAACCCTTTCACCAGTATAGGTTGCAGCCCTTTTTTATGTTAGTAGGCAGTTTGATGAGTCCAAAAAATTCATCCCCTCTTGGCCAGTGTTTTTTACGAGCTTCTTCAAACTTAGGTTGCTATTCCTAAGATAATAGATTCATGGTCTGTTGCTAGACTTGAAGTCTCTCAAGCTTTGGTGAGACCTGAGAAAACTTAAACTTCATTGATAATGCCTTTGAGAACACACAATCATCTTCATTCTGTGAAGAAGCTTCAGGGGAGAACTTTAGAAAAGTGGGACTTCCCAAATATGATTCAAATTGTGTTTGTCTTCTCCAAAGAGTATCTTGGGACTGTATCCATCAACACAAATGTAGTAATTCTGAGATGATTCTCTTGAAGACTTTTGATGACTCACTTAATCTATGTTTGAAATACCTCAGAGAAATTTTGAAGCATCTGCTATTAACTTTAAATAGATCTCATTGCATTCTCAGTCACTGACCATGTGAAATAGACTAAATAAGACTAAATTTCTTGGAACCTCACTTGTGTTACACCTGTGTTACCATCAGCTCTGATTACTGAAAACTGGAATTTAGGTATCATACTAATAGCTTACATTTCTATAGCATATGCAATTTACAAAATACTTTTCCTCCGCACAACTGGGACTTGAACCCAGGTCTTTTAACTCCATTTTTAGTGTTCTTGCAACCCATGCTACCCCCCCACCCCAAAGCAGTTTATTTTATTTGTGAGTAGCAGTGTCTTTCCTTATATTTCACTTGGTCCTTTTTTTTTTCCTCAATGATTCTGTGTTTAGGCACGGTCGTGGGTGTGGTCCTTTATACTGGCCGGGAACTACGGAGTGTCATGAATACTTCCAACCCAAGAAGTAAGGTAGGTTAGAGGGGGCCAGCACAAATGGGAACCACCACAGTACTATCTCAGTATGTGTTGTTACCAAAGATATGGATGTCAGGTATTAGCACTTATAGTGGTCTTGTGGGATTTTTTGCATCTTGGGGTAAGTTAGGCTTCTTACTGTGATTGGGTATATTCACAGGGTTGTCAGATCAAATTTATCAGATCCCTTGAGAAAAGGGATTGTTTCATTGATTATATTTGCATCACCAGTGCCTTTCACTGTGCCTGGTACATACAGGCACTTAATGCTTGTTGATTGTTAGGAAGGTGTTTTTGGAGCTGTAGCTAGGAGAGACAGGATAGGAAGATAGATGTAATACATGGTTGGGGCACTCAGGGATACTGATGCTTCCCTTGAGTGTATGTGTTTTTAATGCCAGAAGATGCTGTTCTCTATGATCTTTAGAGATTTATATTGGAATAATCCAGGCAGCCTTTTAATAAATTCTCCCCGGGAGCTCATGCCACCTGTGGTGAATACACCCACTCTCATAGGTCTCTGGGTGGTCAATTTTCCCCTGCCACTGTCCTGATCAAAGTATCTGCATCTGGAAACTGCAGAAACATTCTCATAAGATAAGCTTCCTTCCCTCCCAAGCATGGTATTGTCCCGCTTCTTTTGGACATCCCTAGGCTCAGGGAAATTGGAACTTTTCTTTTTCCTTTTTGTTCTCCCTGCCTAATGCCTAATTTTCCCCTCAAGGAACAAAATAATCTTTTTGCTAGGCTTAGCCATTGCATGAACTTCAAACTGTGTGAATTGAAATGCAATGAATAAAGTTCTTCTTTTAGAGAAAAATAGTAATCCAGTCTAAAAAGGGTTCAAGTAGGGATGATATGGTGGACTTGGTATCCATTTTCCAAGAATCAATCCAGCTAAGTGAGGCTTATCATCACACTGGTTGACAGTTGATTTTTTTTCTATAGCAACTTATGACTAAGGAGTTTAGTGGGTTGCTTGCTATCTGCCCTGGTGGAGGGAATGTCCCCATGAATGAAATGACTGGTCCTTGAAATATTGAAATTAAGTCACCTCAATTATCCTGACTTCAATTTCCTCCTGTACTATGAGGGCCTTAGATTAGATGGCCTCCAAAGTCCTTTCCAGCTCTGAGATTGTGATCCTTCGCCCATAAGTCAAATTGCATTTGTTATAGGGAATGCTCAGAACCTCCAGGGAACAGCAGCTTAGTGTGGGATAGCTTGATCTTGTTTGGGATGCGCAAATAAAAGCTCTAGGCAGGGTACAGTATTTCCAAATATGGTTTGTCATCTTGGTTTCTATAGTTATGTGAAGGGTGACAATTAGCTTAGAAGAAAAGTTCTTAATTTGAGTTTTTGATAATTGTATTTCAATACAATTAGTTTCCTTTGTAATCCTAGTATTTAATTTTATGTATTTAAAAACATTATTCTGAGAAGCATTCATAGACTTCACCATACTGCTAAAGGGATTCAGAACGCAAAGGTTAGGTACTCTGGCCTTAGAATTTGAAAATAATTGCAAGACCGTTTATTGATGATGAATTTTTGGTAGGGTTGGTAGCTGCTGTTTAGAGTTATGTCAGATTCTGAGACTTGGAGAATTAGGAGAAGGAATTCATAGAATCATAGACTCTCAGCATGGGAAGGGAAATTAGAAATTATGTAGCTCAACTCTCTCATTTTCTTTTTTTCTTTTTCTTTTGGTGAGGCAATCGGGGTGAAGTGACTTGCCCAGGGTCACACAGCTAGTAAGTAATGTGTCAAGTGTCTGAGGTCAGATTTGAACTCAGGTCCTCCTGACTCTGAGGCTGGAGCTCTATCCACTGCATCACCTAGCTGCCCCTCAACTCTTTCATTTTACAGAGCTGAGGCCCAGAATGGGGGAGTGACTTGACTGAGATTACATATTGAGTCATTGGTTGAGTCAAGAAGAAACCCAGGTCTCCTGAATTCAAGTTTGGAGCATCGTAGCCTTTTTTTTTTTAATGGTGAATTATCATTCATATATGGGATTTTATAAAGAGGGAGCATGGTGTGGTGGATAGAGAGGGGTACTTGGAGTCAGGAAGGCCTGGGTATGAGTCCTGCCTCTGACTGGTACTGGCCATCTCATCCTGGGCAAGATTTTACATCTCTATGTGCCCCTAGGCAACTCTCTAAGACCGTAAATCGCTCAGAAGGTACTGGTCTGCCTTGGTATAGAGAGTCCTTCATGCTGAGCTCTCTATATAGATGAAATCACAGGCCTGGTTAAAAACAAGTAGAACTGAGACCTTGCAGTTAAATTTTTTCCTTTTTATTGTATCTTTATTTTTTTATTTTTGGGGTTCCAATCCAATAAACATTTATTAAATGCCTACTATATGCCAGGCACTGTGTTAAGCACTGGGAATACAATGTAAGAAAAAGAAAGACAGTTCTTGCTCTCAAGGAACTTTCAATCTAATAGGGAGTGACTGTAGCGTTTGAGTTTTGAAATAATTGTATCTTATCTCTGGTTTGAAAATGCCATTTAAACATTGAATAATAAATAATTTAGAATGTAAAGGCTTTTAAGTATTAATTTTGGTTGTGACAGTCTGCTTACATACACACATACATACATATATGTATGTATGTGTGTGTGTATCTGTGTATCAAGCTCCTTGTTTTCCTTGTTGATAAACTTCTCTGATCTAATCTGCAAGGCTATTATGTCAGCCTGAATTAGGACACTTTTTTTTTTAACATGTGAAGAAGGGACTTCATGGTGAAGAAAAGTGATGCTTCGATCCAAACTGATTTATATATGTAGGGTATAAAAGTGGGAAGGAAAATAAGAGACAATCCGATGTAAGCTTTTCTTTTTCTAGAGTAAATTGAGGGCTCAGTAAAGTAAACCCAGTGATTTTATCAAGTAACAGGGGCAGAATTTACACCCTGGTTTTCTCACTCCAAGGCCAGTACTCTATCCACTGTGCTTGCTGTCCCATTGGCAACCTCTTTTCCTTATGTTTGGGAGAGGGGAGAAAGGGCCATTTGTGAAGATTCTTTGAACCTTGTGCTTTTGAGTTCTAGCATTCAGAACTCAGTTATCTTGGAGTCAGAGATCATAGGATTTAGAGCTGGAAGGGATTTTAGAGAACACCTATTCCAATTGCCTCATTTTGCAGATGAGGAAAATGAGGACCAAAGAGGGGGGAAGTAACTTGCTCCAGGTCAGGTAGTAAGTACCGGAGCTGGGATGAGTTGAACTCAGGTCCTTTGACTCCAAATCTAGTGCTCTTTCCACTATACCATGCTGGCTCTATCTCATCTTATTGCTGTCCATACGGACGAAGGCCTCGAATTGAAGGTATGCATTTCTCCAGGTGGGACAACTGGTTTCTAGCCAGGTATATGCGCATCAGGTGAAATATCTCAGACTGTCTTTCCTTCTTCCCTATTTTCTTCAAGATTGGACTTTTTGACCTAGAAGTGAACTGCCTCACGAAGATACTGTTTGGAGCTTTGGTTGTGGTATCTCTCGTCATGGTGGCTTTGCAGCACTTTGCTGGCCGTTGGTACCTGCAGATCATAAGATTCCTTCTCTTGTTTTCCAACATCATTCCTATCAGGTAAGACCTATCAAGGTCTTGAAGAGCCTGTGTTTTCATGTTGTAGTCATTTAAGTGTATATCGACCTTCTTTAATACAATTTCTTATTCCAAGATCATGCCTAATTGACCTTTTTGAACATGAAAAGGGGGCAGACTCTTCTGTAGGATAGATCAGTGGTGCAGTAGAAATAGTGCTAGAATGAGAGGAAGGATGCCTGAGTTAGAGTCCTGCTCTGTAACAATGAGCAAGTCAGTTAAGGTCTAAGTCTCAGTTTTATGTTCTATAAAATGGGCAGAGTAACACTTGAGTTACCTACTGGATAGGGTTATTCAGAAACTGTTGAACTTTAACGTGCTATGGAATTGTGAGCTTTTAATTGTCCTAATAACAAAGATTGAATGGTGCTTTTGTTCCCTAGGTTTGGAGACCCCATTTTTCCCCACAAAATCTTCTCTAACTCTACATCAAAATAATCTTTTCCTTCCCACTTTTAAAGTCTTGGTATCTTTTAAAATTTTTTTTACATCATTGTCACTTCTGGATATATGCTTCCCTTCTCCTATACCTTAGTTATTCAGTCAGTAACTGCTTATTGACTGACTGGCTATACTAAGTGAGGTGTCCTTTGTAACAAAGGATAAAAAAGGGAGACAAAAAAGCGTATCAGCAAAACCTCCCAATGTATCAATTATTTTACCATATATACAATATTCTGCACCTATAGTCCCTCCTCACCTTTGCAAAGACCACATGATCTTTAAACATCTAACATGGGGCTAGTCATTTACAGGGCACTCAATAAATGCTTATTAATAGAATCTTTTAGTTTTTATAGTCCATAGAAGCTTTAAGAGGCAACTAGGTGGCTCAGTGGATAGAGCACCGGGCCTGGAGTCAGGGAGACCTGAGTTAAAATATGGCCTCAGACACTTACTAGTTATGTGACCCTGGCAAGTCACTCAACCCTGTTTGCCTCAGTTTCCTCATCTGTGAAATGATCTAGAGAAGGAAACGGCAAACCACGCCAGTATCTTTGTCAAGAAAACCCCATGGATGGTGTGGTTCATAGAGTCATGTAAATTCAAACATGACTATACAACAACAAGCTTTAATGTAAATTCTCTTTCTTGATTATATATTGCCTATATTTTCTTTAGTTATTTCATGTGATAATAAAAGCTTAACTTACCGTGTTAGATGATTTATGTGTGCTTTCCACACAACCTGGTGAGGTAGATAGTGGGTTCCTTTTCTCATTTTACAGATGAGAAGACTGAGGTCCAGAGAGGGGAAATATCTTACTTTTAGTCACACAACGAGTAAGTGACAGGGCCAGGACTCAAACCCGCATCTTCTGACTTTAATTACTTCACCCCTTTCACTTCACCACGCTTAAAGAGAAGGAATTATGGAATCATAGAGTTAGAAGTCTCTTTAGCAATTAGATGGTCTAAGCCCCTCATTTTCTAGATGAAGATGTGGAGACAGAGAACAGATTGTAACATGCACAGGCTCATATAGCAGATAATTGGCAGAGATGAGTTCAAACCCACTTCTTCAAAGTCCAAATTCAGTCTTCTTTCTATAATAAATGCTACATGCTGCCTCTTTATAGTTAGACTTTGTTTTCTTACCTACATGTTTGCATCCCCTTTTACAGTAGACTCTGATTTCTAGAATCATAGGATTTAGAGTGACAAGAAGCCTCAGAGATATCTTGTTTTTACCTTCACCCCCCTCCCCTCCCCTGTAGCTTCATTTTACAGGTGAAGAAAATGAGGCCTGAGAGATTATGGCTCCCCAGCGTGTCTAAGGCAGAGCTCTACATACATAAAGCACTTAAATTTTTATCTGGAAAAATAAATGATCAGAAGAACTATATGTGGGACAGTCATTCATCCTTTCACTAACTCATTCATCCTTTAATTGGCCTATTCCTTCTATCTCTGATGCTTACTACCTGTACAGCCACTTTGATCAAGTTACTTGACTTCCTTGGACCTCAGTTTCCACAGCTGCAGAATGACAGGATTGGATGACCTTTGAAGTCCTTTATAGCTCCAGAGTTAGAAACCTATTCCTGTACTCAGTAGCATTTGTTGAGTGACCTTGACGTGCAAGGACTCATTCTAGAAACTATAGGTAATAAAAAGAGGACAGAGACAGTCCTTGCCCTCACAGAACTCATAGTCTAGTTAAGGAGCTCAGCCATACTGACACAGAGATCGGTTTGGAGGCATACATGCAACAGAAGAGGGAGAAAGTGTTGTATTAGTGCAGAGGAGAGGTATGGTGATTGCATAAGGAAAACAAAGATTTCTTGGATTTTGGTATTTCGTCAATATTTAGGGTCTATGTGAATCTAAGAACATTGTTCACTAGTGCATCATTTACATAGAAAATGGTTTCTCAGATCCTTCAAATCCTGTTGCTCTTTTTTTCCTTCTGGACAGTTTGCGTGTCAACTTAGACATGGGGAAGATTGTATATAGCTGGGTGATTCGCAGAGATTCCAAAATTCCTGGCACCGTGGTTCGTTCCAGCACAATTCCTGAGCAGCTCGGGCGGATCTCCTATTTACTTACAGACAAAACAGGTAACCTGTTAATTGGAGAGGAGTAGCTAAAATGCACAGTGAATGCTTCAGCATAATATTTTCTTCATGTGGTCAGTTTTTTAAAAAATTTGTTTTTTCAGTTGACTAACATTTTTTTCTTCTCTTTGCTACTACCTTTTCCCCATTGGGGAAAATAAAAGAAAATCTTTGTAACAAATATACATAGTCCTATACAAAGAGATATGTCTCATTCTTCATTTTGAGTTCATCACTTCTCTTTCAGGAGGTAGTAAGTGTCCAGCTTCATCAGCAGGCCTTTGGTGTCATGGTTGGTGATTGTATTAATCAGGGTTCTTAAGCCTTTCAAAGTTGTTTTTCTTTAACATGTTGTTTTATAAAGTGTTCTGATTCTGTTAACTCTAGTCTGTATCACTTTATAAAAGTTTTCCTATCTTTTTATGAAACTATCTTTAGTTTCATTTCTTATGGCACAATAGTATTTCTGTACATTTATATAACATAATTTGTTCAGCCACTCACCGGATAATGAGCACCCCTTATTTTCCAGTTCTTTGTGCAATTGAAATTAATAGGAATTTTTTCTCTTGGAAGATTAGAGAAATGTGTTCCTCTTTGGATTTTTTGGAGGATAGAGGGAGGTTGCTTCTTTGATAGGATGTTCTCTTCCTGGAAATGGGCATGGTCATTAATTTTAGGAATTATACTTGTTACAGGGGATCCTTTTTTTAAAGGAAAAAATTATTTTTTCCAGTTACATGTAAAAGCAATTTTTAACATTTGTTTTTTAGCATTTTGAATTCCAAAGTCTTTCCCCCTTCCCCTCCCCTCTCATTGAGAAGGCAGTGTATTTGATGTAGGTTATATATACATGTGTTGTTTTGCAAGACATGTTTCCATATTAGTCGTGTTGTAAAAGAAACACAGACAAAAAAACCGTGAAAAAATAAAGAAAAAGAAAATTAATGTGTTTTGATCTGTGTTCACAATCTACCAATTCTTTCTCTGGAGATGGATAGCATTTTTTCATTATAAATACTTCAGAATTGTCTTGGATCTTTTGTCTTTCTGAGAATAGCTAAGTCATTTGTAGTTGATCATTAAACAATATTACTGTTACTGTATGTAATGTTTTCTTGGTTCTGCTCACTTCACTTTGTATCAGTTCACGTAAGTCTTTCCAGGTTTTTTTGAAAGCATCCTGCTTATCATTTCTTATAGCACATTTATATTTCATCACAATTATATACCACAGATTGTTCGATCATTCCTCAATTGATGAACAACTCCTCAATTTCTAATTCTTTGCCACCACAAAAAGAGCTGCTATAAACATTTTTATACATACAGGTCCTTTTCTTTTTCTTTACTTTTTTCTTTCTTTCTTTCTTTTTTAAATCTCTTTAAGATACAGACCTAGTAGTGCTATTGCTGGTGCAAAGGGTATGAACAATTTTATGTATAGCCCTTTGGGCATAGTTCCAAATTGCTCTCCAGAATGATTGGATCAGTGCACAACTCCACCAACAGTGCATTAGTGTCCCAATTTTCCCACATCCACTCCCACATTTGTCATTTTCCTTTTCTGGCGTATTAGCCAATCTGATAGGTGTGAGGTGGTACCTCAGAGTTGTTTTAATTTGCATTTCTGTGATCAGTAGTGTTTTAGAGCATTTTTGTATATGATTATAGATAGCTTTGGTTTCTTCAGCTGAAAACTGCCTGTTCGTATCCTTTGGCCATTCTTATAAATTTGACTTTGTATGTTTGGGAACGAAGCCTTTATCAGAGAAATTTGCTGTAATATTTTTTTCTAGTTTTCTGCTTTCCTTTTCATCTTGACTGCATTGGTTTTGTTTGTACAAAACTTTTTAAATTTAATGTTACAGGGACTCTTACCCAGAATGAGATGGTCTTTAAACGACTTCACCTTGGAACAGTTGCTTATGGATTAGATTCAATGGATGAAGTACAAAGCCACATATTTAGCATATATACCCAGGTAAAATAATTCCAGGTTGCTATTTTTAAAAATCATTTTTTCTCTGTTCTTCAATATATTGATATACAGTTAAAAATTTTTTCTGTGATAATCTATGTCAGATCTTCTCTTTGATGCCTTGCTTAATGTTTATGATCTAAGGGTTGTTGAACAATGATATGGCTACCATATATTGCTGTTAAATATTGAGTTATTTTGATGTATGGGTGGAAGACATTTTGTTGGAAGAGAGACTTGAAGCTGGTGTTTCATACTACTGAATCAAATGCTTTTAAAAAAGTAATCAACAAATAGTGAGCACAGGTGACTTATATTCTTTTCATCTTTCAGTCTGAGATGCTAAATATTTGGTCCATTGTATATAGCATCTCTTGCTACTGTGTGCCTGTTTTCTTCTAGTGCCCTTTCCTGATCCCCTTAAAACTAGTGTCTTCCCTCTGTTGATTTTCTCCAGTTGACCTTGTATTTTTCTTGTTGGTACATGGTTGTTTGCATGTTCTCTCCCTCATTAGACAATGAGCTCCATGAATGTAGGGACTATATTTTTTGCCTTTGTTTCTATTCTCAGTGCTTAGCACAGTGCCTGGCACATAATAACTGCTTAATAAATACTTGTTGACTTATTTGCAAGAATGCCCTGGATAGGCAGGAAGGTGGTGCAGTGGATAGAGCTCCAGCCTTGGAGTCAGGAGGACCTGAGTTCAAATTTGGCCTCAGACACTTGACACTTATTAGCTGTGTGACCCTGGGCAAGTCACTTAAACCTGATTGCCTCCCCCACCCCCCCCAAAAAGAATGCCCTGGATGCATAACTAGATGATTAAGTATATTTGAAGATAATCTGTCATGCTGAAATGCTAATGAATCTTGGGAGAAATGTAATACGGTAATGATGATAACTGGCATAGAAGCCTTTCAACTTTACAGAGTTGTTTAAATACATTCACTTCAGTTTCATAACTGTCTTCCAAAATAGGCACTACTGATGTTACTTTTCCCATTTTAGAGAGGAAGAAACTGAAATTCTGCAAGGTTAACTTAATGGCTTGTTAATGGTTTAGTTAAGTATTAGAGTAAAGATTTGAATCCAAGTCTTCATGACTCAAAGTTCAGCATTCTGTTCACTATATGGTATTACCTTTCTGAAGTCAGGATGCTATTTGTATTCAAATTTATTTACCAAATAAATAGAGTCATAGAACTTTAGAGTTGGAAGAGTCCCGTATAGACCATCTGATCTCTTATTCAGTAGAGCACTGAATGTCATAATCATTGTTGACATCTAATTAACTTCTCAAATGTCAGCTGTCAAGCATAGCAGAAATAGTAGCATTTCTGAGTTATAACTTAGAGATATAAGAATAACTACTATCATGCAGAAGCATGAAGTAAATTTAAAAATTGTTAAAGTAACATCTTTTAACATCAGTAATTTGCTCTTTTAAAACACAATATTAGGCAAAACAATGTTACAGGATTTAGTCAGTTTTATGAAACATTGTTATAAATGGGCAAGCCATGGGGCAAATGATATTCCTAGGTTTAGGTTGAAATATATTAACAATGTTTATTTCAGAACAAATATGGGTACTATGCTTTTTTTTTCTTGTAATAATACCATAGCAGGCTTTTATAGCTCACAAAGTATCTTCACATGTGTTATCTCATTTGGTCCCCCCTATAACCCTCCGAAGTAGTCAGAGTAGGTGGTAGCTTTCCAGTTTTGCAGATCAAGAGACTAAAATTCAGAGTGGTGAAGAGACTTGCTTAAATTCTAGTCTTCCTGAGTCTGAGCCCAATATTTTATCCATCATACTGCTTAGCTGCCAAATGTACCATAGACATATCAAGCTCTACATATACAAAACTGTATTCATTATCTAAATGCACATCTGCTTCTGACTTCCCCATTTTTTTCTTTTTTTGGGGGGGAAGGGTAGTTTCTATTTATTTTGAAATTTATTTTATTTTGAACTTATTTATTTATTTTATTTTGACCTTATGAAATAAAACAAGCATTTCCATAACATAGTAGGGTAGAAAAAATGATTACACATGAAACTTCAAATCTCTTAGGTATAATTTGCTATGCCTCTTGACCCAGCAGTACCGCTAGTATTCTCCATTTTCTTTTTCAAGGACACTACCATTCTTTCAGTTAAAGAGATTTGCAAACTCAAAGTCATCCTTAACTCTTTCCTCTACTTCATCCAGTATAAGAAGTCATTTGCCAAGGCTTACCAGTTCTGCCTCCAAAATATTTTTTACATCTGTCTCCTTTTCTCTACTCGCATCACAACCGTCCTAGTTCTACTGTGGTAGATGGTAGCTAAGGCAGGATTTAAGCCCAAGACTTCACTGTAAATTCTATAGTCCAGAAAACTATATTACTTCTCTTCTACTCTAGTTCATGGTGTAATTAAAAAAAAATCCTTCCTGGAATTCTTGGAAAGCCTCAAAAATTGACTGAAACCATCCAGGGCCTGTAGCAGAAAAGTCCTACAGTAAGAGCTACTGTTGCAACTGGGCTTGTGTGTACCAGTGAGGAGTAGCACAAAACTGTCCTGGTAGGAAAGCACAGCACACTTATTTTGGCCTAGTTATATGAGTAGCAGCCTTGTGATGAGGCTTCGATGTTTCTCTGCTTTTCTTGGTGAGAAATTATTCTCTCCCTGCCCCACCCCCCAGTCTCTCTAAAAAAATGGTGAATATTAAGGTGTGAAATTTCTTCACTACCTGTTAAGAGGTTTTGTGATGAGTAAAGGTGTATATGATTTGAATGTTTGTCTTTTCTCAAGGTAAATGTGCCTAAACTAGATAAAATTTTAAGTTGACTGGGGAAGGGGATGGCAAGTCTAAATGTATCTGCTGCTTGAAGTGTTTTGAATTTTTATACTTTATTATATCCTTTCATACATACACACTCATACACGTATCTATATAAATTTTAGTGAAATCAATTGACAAGCATTTATTGAATGCTTCCTTTTGCCTACTATGCTCTTAATCTCTTCTGAGTATAAGTTGAAGAAAATGTGCTGATCTATAGTTATAGGGATTGCTTACCCCATTGTATTTCCCTATACCAGTGAAATCATAGGTTCAGTACAGTACCCATGTCCCCTGTCCTCCTATGTGCCAGGCACTATGTTAGATTTGGGAATAGAAATAAAGAAATTAAATAATCCCTGTTCACAAGGAACATATAGTTTGTTCAAGGAGATAACATGTTCGTATCATTCTCTAACAGAGCATAACTATAGTAATAAAGTTTGTTTTTATAGTGTTTTATGGTTGACAAAGTGCTTTCATATCCACCTTTTTATTTGATCCTCACAACCACTCTGTGAGGTAGAAAGGACACATAACATAATGATGAAGAAGAAAAATAAGATTGACTTCATTTTGTAGCAATGTTAACAGAATTGATAGAACAAGCAAATTCTTGTGAAATCACAAAGGTGTTTTTGAGACAAAATGTTTTCGAATGTAAAACATAGTTATTGAGTTCAAGAATGTAAACACAGAACACAGAAAATGTTGTAACATGTTTGACTATTACTTAATCTATTCCCCCTTTAAAAATCCAAAGCTGTGACATAGGATTGGAGTAGTACTCTAAGCAGTCAGACTCTGTTTCCTCTTGTTTAAACAAGTAAAACCTCTTGGCTTTAACAAATAGCATAAGTGCAAAATAAACATAAGGTAGTTAAAGAGGGAGGGCACTAGCAGTGGAGAAGAACAGGAAAGTCTTTATGTAGAAACTTGTGTTTGAGCTGTGTTGTGAAGGACGTAAGGGATTCTATGAAGCAGAGATTGGGGGCTGGGGTGGTGAGGGGAAATATCTCCAGGCATAGGGGATGTCCAGAGCCCAGGCACTATTGCATGAATCCCTGAGGGAAGGCAGCAAGGGGCCAGTGTGACTTCATTGATCTGTGCAAACTGTGCCAATGGGATTTCCATCTCCTCCTGCACTTCTGTCTGCATAAGACTTCCACTTCCCACTGTGCTCCCTTGATCTCCAGCCTCAGGTGAGAAGAGGAGTGAACTTCCCTCTGACCCTGGGCCTTCCTTCTCCTACTGTGCCTGTTTGCTGAGGAACAGGAGTAGAAAAGTTGGTAGGTAGCAGCACTTCTATCTTTTGCTGAACTGTCTCCAGCCTTCAGAGGGAAGAGGAAGAGTGAAATGAGGCCTCCCGTCTGATCTTGTGCCTTTTCACTCATACCTGGTCGCACCCAGTACGTTTCAGTGATTATGAATCCCTGTAGGTCTTCATCCAAACCCCATTCCCTACTGCCTCCCATCCAATTCCTTATTCCCATCCCCCACAACCTTCTTACCCTGAAGTACCATCCAAATGCTTCCCATTCCTTCTGCCGTACTCTCTGGAATGCTTTTGCGTAGGCAGCAAACTTGCCCTCATCTTAAATCTTTTCCTCTCCCATACCTGTAATAACTGAGATCTGATTACTCCCTGATGACACAGCCTCCCTGGCCACCTTTTCCAGTACTGGCTGCATGTTCACTCATTCTTCTTAGCTCACTGATTGAAGTGGGGAATTGGAACAATCCTTACTCTCCATTGCAACTTCCAGGTTTTCCTACCTCCACCACCTCAGTAACTTATCTACTTTTGAGGTTCATGCAATTTATAAATACCAATTGATCAAAATTCTGGTAATTGTTGACTGTAGACCTCCAGTTCACTCCCTTTCCTTCCTTCCTCAGTGAGTTCAATACCTGGCTCATAATTTTGCTCTCCATAATTCCTGCCCTCATGCTAGAGGACTTCAACTCTGTCTCTCTTCTCTCTCTTTGCTTTTTGGTGAGGCAGTCAGGGTTAAGTGACTGGCCTAGGGTCACACAGCTAGTAAGTGTCAAGTGTCTGAGGTCAGATTTGAATTCAGATCCTCCTGACTCCAAAGCTGGAGCTCTATCTACTGCACCAGTTAGCTGCCCCCTGTCTCTCTTTCTCTCTCCCTCTCTTTTGCTCCTTCCCA